TAAGAACGTTTTAATTTGCCCAGTTGTTGCTTTTCTGACTACAAGAAGAATACGTCCAAACCAATCATAGGATTATTACCTCATAGAAAACAGCAGCACGTTTTTATTTACCAGATACATCCACAGACCTACCTGTCGTTACTGATAGAGCTACCAATCGAGGCGGCGCTGTCACTAGGAGGAAGTTCTAATGTTAAAGGCCCTTTGTAGACATCGTTTACTTCGGCAAGTGGTTTGATGATGACATCACGCTCTGAAGTTCTTGGAATCAAAGCTTTTCAGGGAAAAACTAGGATTCAACATATCCGTACCTTCATCCGGCCCATCAAAGACCAAATCGTCTATACTTGATGAGCTGTCAATAGATCTCGACTCATTGTCATCACTATCTGATTCCATGCCACCATTCTCTCTACTGTAAGCGTAGTAGGCGGAGCATAGGGAAGATTCGTTTGGGCAGACCTGAAAACCATTAATTCAAAGTAAATGGACAAGATACAATAAAGGATCCTCTGTAAAGCGAATAGTTCATAAGATGAAATTGCAAATCTCACAGTTTAACTAAGATTCGAAGTAGATTCAACACCCAGATTCCAAAACCATAATAGAGATATTTGATACAACTCAAAACAGGCTTCTACAGGAATTTGGCCGTACTACATATTGAATATCCACAAGAAAACCAAGCAAGGTTAAGCATCAGTACAAAAAGGCTCAAAAAATGAACTTTAAAGAGAAGAAATTCAATGTTCAATAAACAGACTTTGGACCGAATAAACAAAAGTCTTCTTCTCAATAAGATGGATAATCTCAAATTTTCCTCTATATTTCAGGGGCAAAATCAGCTATGTCTACATTACCGAGCAAACACAACAAGATTACAACGCCATAAAACATCCAAAAGAGTTTAATGTATTACCATGAAATGCACCGGCATTAAGGATTCGCTGAACCACTTTGCTTTATCTCCAATTTGTGTGGGACTATCGATACCGGCTTGAACTCGTACAAATATCTCATTTTTTGGGCATATATAATTGAAATATATAATTGTTATAAGCAATTTGCACAACAATAAACGCAGTATTCTTCGTAAAAACAACAGTACACAAATGCAAAACCTAAATGACATTAACGGGAGAAATCGATCGAAGAAAACTAAA